CCCTCAGCCCACCCATTACTATCCCAGGTCACACTCAGCCCACCCATTACTCTCCCAGGTCACACTCAGCCCACCCATTACTCTCCCAGGTCACACTCAGCCCACCCATTACTCTCCCAGGTCACACTCAGCCCACCCATTACTCTCCCAGGTCACACTCAGCCCACCCATTACTCTCCCAGGTCACACTCAGCCCACCCATTACTCTCCCAGGTCACCCTCAGCCCACCCATTTTACTCACAGGTCACCCTCAGCCCACCCATTACTCCCAGGTCACCCTCAGCCCACCCATTACTCTCCCAGGTCACCCTCAGCCCACCCATTACTCTCCCAGGTCACCCTCAGCCCACCCATTACTCTCCCAGGTCACACTCAGCCCACCCATTACTCTCCCAGGTCACCCTCAGCCCACCCATTACTCTCCCAGGTCACCCTCAGCCCACCCATTACTCTCCCAGGTCACCCTCAGCCCACCCATTACTCTCCCAGGTCACCCTCAGCCCACCCATTACTCTCCCAGGTCACCCTCAATCCACCCATTACTCTCACAGGTCACCCTCAGTCCACCCATTACTCTCACAGGTCACCCTCAGCCCCCCCTCCCCCCCCATCATCCACTAGCCAAGCTATTACCTTAATACAGCCATACACCACAGAATTGTATACTGAAGCTTCACACAGCGAGCAGGGATAGCTTAATACAACCTTCGTCTCGCTAAGGACCACGACACACCAAACTGTAGTGGATGGATCAGGCATGAATGATGATTCAACCAAGCACTAATCAACAGCAGCATCCACACACCTGTGATTCGGATATCACAGGTGTGCCCCCCCCCCCTTTATTTTGTTCAGGTCATTTGTGGTTTAGTGGTAGCGTACACGACTGGCAATGCCGGGGTCGTAGGTTCGTGCCCTCCTGAAAGTCCCTGTGGATTTTCTCAATAATAATAATAATAATAATGTCGGAAGTGGAGGAACAGCTCAATAAGCAAGTAAGCCAATGGAATAAAAACGTTATATTCTTCTATATAAATAGCAGAATGTCAGACAAAATGAACTAGGACTATTGCGTGATACAGCACAGAAAATGAAGACTATTACATGTCATAACTGAAACATGACTATTACATTTCATGTAATCAAGGCTCACTGTGACATTGTGGATTAATTACGTCAGATCAGATGATATAGCTGTACTATAAATGTGTGTGTAATTACCTAAGTGTAGTTACAGGATAAGAGCTACGCTCGTAGTGTCCCGTCTTCCCAGCACTCTTTGTCATATAACGCCTTGAAACTACTGACGGTCTTGGCCTCCACCACTTTTTCACCTAACTTGTTCCAACCGTCTACCACTCTGTTTGCGAAATATATAAACTATGACCTCTTGAGGATTCGAACCTAAACAGCTAGGGGATCACTTCCTTTGCCTATCCAGTACTATTACCACTCCACCATCGACTGCCTGTGTGTGTGTGTGTGTGTGTGTGTGTGTGTGTGTGTGTGTGTGTGTGTGTGTGTGTGTGTGTGTGTGTGTTAAATCTACAGCCCTATTTCCAAACCAGTATTTACCCAGGTCTTTTCTGAATCTAAACTTGTCAAATTTATATCCGTTGTTCCGCGTTCTATTTTATTTGTATACTAGCTATACCCAGCCACGCGTTGCTGTGGCTCAGCAATGCATGTGCGTTGCCACTCCCCACTCTCCTGTCCCCTCATCCTCACCATCCCAAACTCCCCCGTCCCCTCGTCCTCCCCACCACTCCCTCATCCGACGCATTCCCGAATGATCTTATGTTCCCATCAGAAAATTGGGAACATGAAATGATCTGATGTTCCCATCACTGAAATATAAGAAAAATAGTTAAAAAAAAAGATATGAAAAACAATGAAAAAAGGAGAAAATAAACTATACTCACGAGATGAATGATATGGTAAACAACACAGCTCAATTCCAACACAATGTCAAACACAATAATTAAATCAAAATGAAAATACATCGGAATCTATGAAAATTCAATTTATCAATGCGATCGGAAACATTGAAATGGAAACGTAACATATTCAGTATTGCGTGTGTTGTTATTACGTGCAAGAGATAGCATCGGTTTTTTTAAAGCATGTTCTTACCTATCACAGGTGTGGCATCTATATAGTAGGTATATAAAAACACTCGCATATTCGAATGCAACGTTGTGTCAAAATTTCAAAACAATCTGTGAGGAATTTTCGAAGATTACAGCGTGTTTAGCTCTTACGTCGAACAATGGCGTAGTTAAAAAAAACATGTTTTTTCCTGTCATAGGTGAGGCATGTATAGAGGTATATAAAAACACACGCCTATTCGAATGCAACGTTGTGTCAACATTTCAAAGCAATCTGTAAAGAGGTTTTGAAGATTTTCCCCTCACATGAAAAACAGATGAATAAAACACAGTTTTTCAAAAACGCATGTTTTTTTCTCGTCACAGACGTGACATCTATATAGTATGTATACAAAAACCCGCTCGGTTGCGAATGGAACGTTGTGTGAAAATTTCAAAGCAATCGGTGAACAACTTTCAGAGATTAGCGATTTTGAACAAACGAACATTTACATTTTTATTTATATAGATATTTAATTAAAACCTGATTTATATTCCCATTGGTTTGACCTTTTAACAACAATGCTACAGCCGCAGGTAAACACAAAGACTGAGCCCAGACTCAGTACCAGCCTCAGATGTAGTCACCAATAACAACAGGAAAGACAGCCTATGTCTATGTCTAAGTGTGATCCAGAAATAATAAATTAGCGGAGAACGGAATTATCAGGAGAAATCGCCAAGCCATTACGACTATATAGCACTTGGAAGGGGTCAGGATAAGGGTTTGGGATGGGACGGAGGGAAAGAATGGTGCCCAACTACTTGGACGGTCGGGGATTGAACGCCGACCTGCAGGAAGCGAGACCGTCGCTCGACTGGGGGGACCCAGGTGAGGGGGGCCCTGGTGAGGGGGGGGACCCAGGTGAGGGGAAGGACCCAGATGAGGGGGGACCCCAGGTGAGGGGGGGACCCAGGTGAGGGGGGGACCCAGGTGAGGGGGGGGGACCCAGGTGAGGGGAAGGACCCAGATGAGGGGGGACCCCAGGTGAGGGGGGACCCAGGTGAGGGGGGGGGACCCAGGTGAGGGGGGGGGGGACCCAGGTGAGGGGGGGCCCAGGTGAGGGGGGGGCCCAGGTGAGGGGGGGGACCCAGGTGAGGGGGGGACCCAAGTGAGGGGGGGCCCAGGTGAGGGGGGCCCAGGTGAGGGGGGGACCCAGGTGAGGGGGGACCCAGGTGAGGGGGGACCCAGGTGAGGGGGGGACCCAGGTGAGGGGGGGACCCAGGTGAGGGGGGGACCCAGGTGAGGGCGGGACCCAGGTGAGGGGGGGACCCAGGTGAGGGGGGGACCCAGGTGAGGGGGGGACCCAGGTGAGGGGGGGACCCAGGTGAGGGGGGACCCAGGTGAGGGGGGGACCCAGGTGAGGGGGGGACCCAGGTGAGGACCCAGATGGGGGGACCCCAGGTGAGGGGGGGACCCAGGTGAGGGGGGGGACCCAAGTGAGGGGGGGACCCAGGTGAGGGGGGGGACCCAGGTGAGGGGGGGGACCCAGGTGAGGGGGGGACCCAGGTGAGGGGGGGGGACCCAGGTGAGGGGGGACCCAGTGAGGGGGGGAACCCAGGTGAGGGGGACCCAGGTGAGGGGGGGGACCCAGGTGAGGGGGGGACCCAGGTGAGGGGGGGGATCCCCGGTGAGGGGGGACCCCCGGTGAGGGGGGGACCCCCGGTGAGAGGGGGGGGACCCCCGGTGAGAGGGGGGGGACCCCCGGTGAGGGGGGGGACCCAGGTAAGGGGGGGACCCAGGTGAGGGGGGGGACCCGGTGAGGGGGGGGACCCAGGTAAGGGGGGGACCCAGGTGAGGGGGGGACCCAGGTGAGAGGGGGAAGCCAGGTGAGCCACTGAACATAATACCCAGGAAACGAGTTTCGTCAACACTAAACGTCCTCCTCTCGTGTATAAATTATGGAATAATTATGCAATTGCAGTGAATGACTTACAATTTTCGCTGTTAAAAGCCCAAAGCGACGCTCCACTGCCCCTCCCTTCCCCCCCCCCCCATGGTTGAGAAGCTAATGGGTGTGAAGCATCGAGTTACATCAACAGGTTATCCACACAATGGGGGGGCTTTTAACTCCAGCTCTCAAATTATAAACGATATTTACGACAGTAATGGCGAGAGAACCCTCCAGTGAGGTACCCCCCCCCCCCACCCTGGTAAACCTCAGGGTGGTTTACCAGGAGGGTAAACCTCCCTGAGGTTTACCTTTATTTAAAAGTTTATGTAAAGAGGGAGATACATCCCACTGTTTACAATCTATGATTTGAGAGAGAGAATTCAAATCCGCATGAAAATCTCGTACGATCCATGCTGTCATAAGCCATTTCTAATTCGAAAAATACAGGTAATGTTGCTTGGGAGAAACTGTCTCAGAAATAGAGGATTTCAAGCCAAGGATGAAGTCTTTCATCTCACTGACGACCACCAGGCAAGCGTCATAAAAAAATAACTTTGACGGGGAATCTGGTTAACTCCTACAAGTGGAATTGGAGATAATATCTATATACAATAGAATGCTTGTCCAAGGAGGAAAAAAAGCTTGGGGTTAGCCTCACCAAACTTTGCAGGGTGACTGGTGGGTGTGGGGGGACTGTAATAGCCCCTCTACGACAGACCCGCAAACAAGTTCCAAACTTGTTTACACTATCCTCATTAATATTTATCCAACACATTTTCTGCGAGATGATTAAGATGGTTATAGTGATGAATGAAGTGTATAGCGATGTGGCCTCCGTGACCCAAGCAACGCCGGGTACCCAAGCCAGTGGTTGTGAGTGCAATAGGCGCGCGCGCGTACGTATGTACACACACACACACACACACACACACACACACACACACACACGAGAGACACTCACGACACACAATAAGCAGCAGGTGGCGTGGGTGGCGTCCCGGTGTCGTGGGTGGCGTCCCAGTGTCGTGGGTGGCGTCCAGTGTCGTGGGTGGCGTCCCAGTGTCGTGGGTGGCGTCCCAGTGTCGTGGGTGGCGTCCCGGTGTCGTGGGTGGCGTCCCGGTGTCGTGGGTGGCGTCCCGGTGTCGTGGGTGGCGTCCCGGTGTCGTGGGTGGCGTCCCGGTGTCGTGGGTGGCGTCCCGGTGTCGTGGGTGGCGTCCCGGTGTCGTGGGTGGCGTCCCGGTGTCGTGGGTGGCGTCCCGGTGTCGTGGGTGGCGTCCCGGTGTCGTGGGTGGCGTCCCAGTGTCGTGGGTGGCGTCCCAGTGTCGTGGGTGGCGTCCCAGTGTCGTGGGTGGCGTCCCAGTGTCGTGGGTGGCGTCCCAGTGTCGTGGGTGGCGTCCCAGTGTCGTGGGTGGCGTCCCGGTGTCGTGGGTGGCGTCCCGGTGTCGTGGGTGGCGTCCCGGTGTCGTGGGTGGCGTCCCGGTGTCGTGGGTGGCGTCCCGGTGTCGTGGGTGGCGTCCCGGTGTCGTGGGTGGCGTCCCGGTGTCGTGGGTGGCGTCCCGGTGTCGTGGGTGGCGTCCCGGTGTCGTGGGTGGCGTCCCGGTGTCGTGGGTGGCGTCCCGGTGTCGTGGGTGGCGTCCCGGTGTCGTGGGTGGCGTCCCGGTGTCGTGGGTGGCGTCCCGGTGTCGTGGGTGGCGTCCCGGTGTCGTGGGTGGCGTCCCGGTGTCGTGGGTGGCGTCCCGGTGTCGTGGGTGGCGTCCCGTGTCGTGGGTGGCATCCCGGTGTCATGGGTGGCGTCCCGGTGTCGTGGGTGGCGTCCCGGTGTCGTGGGTGGCGTCCCGGTGGCGTCCCGGTGTCGTGGGTGGCGTCCCAGTGTAGTGGGTGGCGTCCCCTGTGGCGTCCCAGTGTCGTGGGTGGCGTCCCGGTGTCGTGGGTGGCGTCCCAGTGTCGTGGGTGGCGTCCCAGTGTCGTGAGTGGCGTCCCCGGTGGCGTCCCGGTGTCGTGGGTGGCGTCCCGGTGTCGTGGGTGGCGTCCCCGGTGGCGTCCCGGTGTCGTGGGTGGCGTCCCGGTGTCGTGGGTGGCGTCCCGGTGTCGTGGGTGGCGTCCCCGGTGGCGTCCAGGTGTCGTGGGTGGCGTCCCGGTGTCGTGGGTAGCGTCCCGGTGTCGTGGGTGGCGTCCCGGTGTCGTGGGTGGCGTCCCGGTGGCGTCCCGGTGTTGTGGGTGGCGTCCCGGTGTCGTGGGTGGCGTCCCGGTGTCGTGGGTGGCGTCCCGGTGTCGTGGGTGGCGTCCCGGTGTCGTGGGTGGCGTCCGGTGTCGTGGGTGGCGTCCCGGTGTCGTGGGTGGCGTCCCAGTGTCGTGGGTGGCGTCCCGGTGTCGTGGGTGGCGTCCCAGTGTCGTGGGTAGCGTCCCGGTGTCGTGGGGTGGCGTCCCGGTGTCGTGGGTGGCGTCCCGGTGTCGTGGGTGGCGTCCCGGTGTCGTGGGTGGCGTCCCGGTGTCGTGGGTGGCGTCCCGGTGTCGTGGGTGGCGTCCCGGTGTCGTGGGTGGCGTCCCGGTGTCGTGGGTGGCGTCCCGGTGTCGTGGGTGGCGTCCCGGTGTCGTGGGTGGCGTCCCCGGTGGCGTCCCAGTGTCGTGGGTGGCGTCCCAGTGTCGTGGGTGGCGTCCCAGTGTCGCGGGTGGCGTCCCAGTGTCGCGGGTGGCGTACCAGTGTCGTGGGTGGCGTCCCAGTGTCGTGGGTGGCGTCCCAGTGTCATGGGTGGCGTCCCAGTGTCGTGGTGGCGTCCCAGTGTCGTGGGTGGCGTCCCAGTGTCGTGGGTGGCGTCCCAGTGTCGTGGGTGGCGTCCCAGTGTCGTGGGTGGCGTCCCAGTGTCGTGGGTGGCGTCCCGGTGTCGGGGTGGCGTCCCGGTGGCGTCCCGGTGTCGTGGGTGGCGTCCCGGTGTCGTGGGTGGCGTCCCGGTGTCGTGGGTGGCGTCCCGGTGTCGTTGGTGGCGTCCCGGTGTCGTGGGTGGCGTCCCGGTGTCGTTGGTGGCGTCCCGGTGTCGTGGGTGGCGTCCCCGGTGGCGTCCCAGTGTCGTGGGTGGCGTCCCAGTGTCGTGGGTGGCGTCCCAGTGTCGCGGGTGGCGTCCCAGTGTCGCGGGTGGCGTCCCAGTGTCGTGGGTGGCGTCCCAGTGTCGTGGGTGGCGTCCCAGTGTCTTGGGTGGCGTCCCAGTGTCGTGGGTGGCGTCCCAGTGTCGTGGGTGGCGTCCCAGTGTCGTGGGTGGCGTCCCAGTGTCGTGGGTGGCGTCCCAGTGTCGTGGGTGGCGTCCCAGTGTCGTGGGTGGCGTCCCAGTGTCGTGGGTGGCGTCCCAGTGTCGTGGGTGGCGTCCCAGTGTCGTGGGTGGCGTCCCGGTGTCGTGGGTGGCGTCCCGGTGTCGTGGGTGGCGTCCCGGTGTCGTGGGTGGCGTCCCAGTGTCGCGGGTGGCGTCCCAGTGTCGCGGGTGGCGTCCCAGTGTCGCAGGTGGCGTCCCAGTGTCGTGGGTGGCGTCCCAGTGTCGTGGGTGGCGTCCCAGTGTCGCGGGTGGCGTCCCAGTGTCGCGGGTGGCGTCCCAGTGTCGCGGGTGGCGTCCCAGTGTCGCGGGTGGCGTCCCAGTGTCGCGGGTGGCGTCCCAGTGTCGCGGGTGGCGTCCCAGTGTCGCGGGTGGCGTCCCAGTGTCGCGGGTGGCGTCGTGGTGTCGTGGGTGGCGTCCCGGTGTCGTGGGTGGCGTCCCAGTGTCGCGGGTGGCGTCCCAGTGTCGCGGGTGGCGTCCCAGTGTCGTGGGTGGCGTCCCGGTGTCGTGGGTGGCGTCCCAGTGTCGCGGGTGGCGTCCCAGTGTCGCGGGTGGCGTCCCAGTGTCGCGGGTGGCGTCCCAGTGTCGTGGGTGGCGTCCCAGTGTCGTGGGTGGCGTCCCAGTGTCGCGGGTGGCGTCCCAGTGTCGCGGGTGGCGTCCCAGTGTCGCGGGTGGCGTCCCAGTGTCGCGGGTGGCGTCCCAGTGTCGTGGGTGGCGTCCCAGTGTCGCGGGTGGCGTCCCAGTGTCGTGGGTGGCGTCCCAGTGTCGTGGGTGGCGTCCCAGTGTCGCGGGTGGCGTCCCAGTGTCGCGGGTGGCGTCCCAGTGTCGCGGGTGGCGTCCCAGTGTCGTGGGTGGCGTCCCAGTGTCGTGGGTGGCGTCCCAGTGTCGTGGGTGGCGTCCCAGTGTCGTGGGTGGCGTCCCAGTGTCGTGGGTGGCGTCCCCGGTGGCGTCCTAGTGTCGTGGGTGGCGTCCCGGTGTCGTGGGTGGCGTCCCGGTGTCGTTGGTGGCGTCCCGGTGTCGTTGGTGGCGTCCCAGTGTCGTTGGTGGCGTCCCAGTGTCGTGGGTTGCGTCCCCGGTGGCGTCCCAGTGTCGTGGGTGGCGTCCCAGTGTCGTGGGTGGCGTCCCCGGTGGCGTCCCAGTGTCGCGGGTGGCGTCCCAGTGTCGCGGGTGGCGTCCCCGGTGGCGTCCCAGTGTCGTGGGTGGCGTCCCAGTGTCGTGGGTGGCGTCCCAGTGTCGTGGGTGGCGTCCCAGTGTCGCGGGTGGCGTCCCAGTGTCGCGGGTGGCGTCCCAGTGTCGCGGGTGGCGTCCCAGTGTCGTGGGTGGCGTCCCAGTGTCGCAGGGGGCGTCCCAGTGTCGCGGGTACACACACGTCCACACGTACACACACACACGTACACACACACACACACACACACACACACACACACACACACACACCATCACCCGCCGTCTATCGACGCCTCCCCACGCTCCTCTACTCATAAGACTACACAAATAATTATGAACTTGGAGGTAATTAATTCTGGGACTGACGGCTGTAATTACCATCAGTTGGAGGCGCTGGATCACTGGTGTAAACACCTGACTGGTGGGAACAATGCGCTCATTAAACACCTATAAATGCCTCGGCCGCCAGTCTGGCTGTTGTCACTGCTTCAGGTGTGTTATAGAACAAGCAGCTTCAAGAGTAACACAAATATGATAATCGGCTTAAAAACCTTAATTAAAATTGCTCAAGTAACCGGAGCTGAGTGCAGCTAATTCATTTTTAGGCCCCTAATGCGGCGCGTTAAAATGAGGAGAGTTGAACAAAAGGAAATAAACAAAGTGGTACAAAACAAAAAGCATTACTGAAATCGTGGAGGTATGCCGGGGTGGGGGTGGTTGGGGAGGTTTATATTGTGGGGGTCGACCAGCACGCCTCCGGCAGCTGAGGGGACGGGAGGGAATATATAAGGCAAGGGGGGGGGGGGGATGGGTTGTGGGAGGGAATGTGGGAGAGGGGGCCTGGGGGGGGGGGGGAAATAGGTGAGAGTGAAGAGAGGGCATTATTACATTCCGAGACTCCGTGTGGGATTGTGAGATTCATATACCTGAGGACAAGTGTGGGATTCTTGGGCCAAAATGGGGATTTGTAAGGTTGTCTCACTCTCTAAGGTTTCAGATTCCGGGCCGCGTTAGGGAGGTTTATGAAGAGCTTCTACTAAGGTTGAAGATTGAGGGACTCACAGACCAGAGAAGGTGGGGGGGTTGCAGGTTTGACAGACCATATAATAGGGGGGGGGGCGGTCGCAGGATTCACAGACTGGTAAGCAAATGTGGGGATTGTGGCCGTGATAACAGAGAACCAATCACAACACAAGTGGTCTCATATGTAGCTGCAGGAAGCCTGACGTGGCTCAGGCGGTTCCCGAGTAACAGAACCGCCAGTCACTTTCAAGGAGGAGTTAAGTGTAGTAACTCTGCAGCCTTAGAGCTTGGAACACCTCAGGGTGGAGTCTTTAGCCCCCACAAGTGACAATGTGTTGATGCACAAGGGAACAACATATATCCCTCCAGAGATGCTACATAGTCTTTCCAGCTTGTCGCCTTCATCTGATAATTACTTAAACACACACAAGCTCACGAAGCTGTCGATAAGTAGTGAATGCCGTCTCATTACTTAGTACCGAACTGCTAAACCCTTTTTATCCTCACAAGAAGACAAATGTCCCTCTAGCTTTCAAATGTCAACAATCAAAACACCGAAACAATTACACATACTTTTGAATAGGTATTAATTAACAGTGAAACTGTAAACGACTTACATTAAACTCTCAAAGAAAGTCGAAGAAAGATTCTATGACCTTTCAAATTACTTACTGGTCAGAATTGTAACGTCAATATTCAGAGCAATTTAACATAAAGTTTATTAGATTCCTGGTTGATTATCCTGCCCTGCCCCCTAGTGAACTTCCCCGCCTCTACACTGAGGAAACTAGGCTACAGAACTAAGCCACGAGGGTGATTCTTGGTCCTCCAAAACTTGAGAGGTATTGTTCCTCACTCCTTGTTGGGTGTAAGATGAGGGCGAGGAGGAAGCTGCCGCTCCACGAGTGGATTGTTCGTCTAGCGAGGCGCCGGCCGTGGATTATGAAGCCGTGTTGGCGGGTATATTGCGGCTCCTCCACACTACTACACTTCAGCTTCGGCTTTGAGACGATGTGCGCGATACATTTCCTCCCTTGATTTTGGTTGGTTTAATCTCAGCTCTACGGGACGAGTAGTTCACGATGGTGCCGGCTTGTGGCTTGTTGTCCTGTGGCCCGGTGGCTTCTTGTCCTGTGGCCCGGTGGCTTCTTGTCCTGTGGCCCGGTGGCTTCTTGTCCTGTGGCCCGGTGGCTTCTTGTCCTGTGGCCCGGTGGCTTCTTGTCCTGTGGCCCGGTGGCTTCTTGTCCTGTGGCCCGGTGGCTTCTTGTCCTGTGGCCCGGTGGCTTCTTGTCCTGTGGCCTGGTGGCTTCTTGTCCTGTGGCCTGGTGGCTTCTTGTCCTGTGGCCCGGTGGCTTCTTGTCCTGTGGCCCGGTGGCTTCTTGTCCTGTGGCCTGGTGGCTTCTTGTCCTGTGGCCCGGTGGCTTCTTGTCCTGTGGCCCGGTGGCTTCTTGTCCTGTGGCCCGGTGGCTTCTTGTCCTGTGGCCTGGTGGCTTCTTGTCCTGTGGCCTGGTGGCTTCTTGTCCTGTGGCCCGGTGGCTTCTTGTCCTGTGGCCCGGTGGCTTCTTGTCCTGTGGCCCGGTGGCTTCTTGTCCTGTGGCCCGGTGGCTTCTTGTCCTGTGGCCCGGTGGCTTCTTGTCCTGTGGCCCGGTGGCTTCTTGTCCTGTGGCCTGGTGCGGGTACCATCCTGTTCGAAGATGTTAAAACACACGACGATGTTTTAAGTCGTCAGTTAGTTCAGTCATCCGCTGCTCGTGGTGCTGTAGGAGGGTTGGGGTCACTGCAACTTGTGCCTGCCTCTTCTGGAAGCAACATCGTCACCGGGTGTAACGGTCTTGACCGCCAGGGATGCTGTTAGGGGTTGAATTCTAGTTCCAAGTGACTTAAAGTTTATCTCAAGGAATAAATTTTCAGTTTCCGACCAATGTGGTGCCCCTGCGATGCTCCTCGTGGCTCTGTTTTGTACAGTCGGTCGGAAAACCTAAAACTGTTTACTAATATTCAGTACAATAGGCAGATACCTACTGGGTTGTGTTAACAAGTTAACCCATAGAAAATGTTGCCGATATGCAGGCGATTAGTCACAATAATGTGGCTAAAGTATGTTGACCAGACCACACACCAGAAGGTGAAGGGACGACGTTTCGGTCCGTCCTGGACCATTCTCAAGTCGATTGTGACTTGAGAATGTCCAGGACGGACCGAAACGTCGTCGTCCCTTCACCTTCTAGTTGGCTATAGTGGAATTTTCCGTCAATAGAAAACGGGATATCATTGCCATGTCGCTATTAAATTCACCAGCTATTCTGCTGGGAATTATTGGTAATACAGCAGTCTCGAGACTTATCATCATAAAAACATCTCACTTGAATTAACTTAATTATTAGTAGCAAAAATAGAGTAAATGTGACCTTTCTATCACTTACTGTTGCGCCTGACAGATGAGTAAACAGCGCTTCGGATTTGTAGTCCTGAGGTTCCTGGTTCTATCCCTGGTGGAGGCGGAGACAGATGGGCAAAATGTTTCTTTCACCCTGATGCCCGTGTTACCCAGCAGTAAATAGGTATCTGGGAGTTAGACAGCTGCTACGGGCTGCTTCCTGGGGGTGTGTAACAAGAAGGAAGCCTGAAAGATGGATCGGGCCCCGGAGACGTTAAGCCCCGAAATCATCTCAAGATAACCTCAAAATACTAACATCTGGACAAGAGAGCCAGGGCGTCAGTGGGAGGGAGGCCTCAGTGGGAGGGAGGCCTCAGTGGGAGGGAGGCCTCAGTAGGCCGCCATTGTTAATTTTAACAACAGGTCGCTGGAGCAGAACAGCTCCAATAAATTCCCTTGGACAACGGAGTTACTCTCAACTCCAACTACGTCTACTATAAGGAAAGTGTATTACTGGAACCCGTTTATTATCTTTACATTCCTGGCCAGTTATGTCAGGTATATATAGGGCGACCCGTTAGCACGAGGGGCAGTGACCAGCCCACAGTAATATTCTCACCTCTTTCTTTAATATACCAATATTTCCTCTGATATAGCTGTCATATATATATATATATATATATATATATATATATATATATATATATATGGGGTATATATATATATATATGGGGTATATATATATATATATATATGGGGTATATATATATATATATATATGGGGTATATATATATATATATATATATATATATATATATATATATATATATATATATATATATATATATATATATATATATATATATATATATGAATACTATTATTGCAAGTGCCCTATGACAAGAACAATTGAAGAGGAAGCAGAACAGTTACTTGGTATACCAGTACATGGTGTTGATGCCAGCCTCAATCACCAGGAATATATGGAGTCATCAACCTTATTTATTCCTGGTGAACCAGGCCTACCTACAATAAGATAAGGTCTCCCTATTTTAATTACTAATATATGTAGTCTGATACTGTAGTGAATGTTTAGTCATTCAATTTTGATTGATTACACATATAATATACCCCCCCTACCCCACCCTTAATGTGTAAAGGAGTCGATTTGTGAGAATTTGCAAAAATACAGTCCACTTAAACCATCACACAATTTGCTATCGAAATATATAAATTAATGTAAATATAAATTCTAAATAAATTCAAATAAATTAAATAAATATAAATCTCACAGGTCGGCTCCCCCACACAGTTTCTAGGATTTTCTTGTTCTTTAGAGTGTGTGATGAGGGCGGGGGCTCCATAGCCTAGAATGGATCTGATTGTGTGAGTGTCAAATGTGAGGCTCGAGTGTTCCTCACATGAGAACCAGGGGCCAGATTCACGAAGCAGTTACCCAAGCACTTACGAACGTGTACATCTTTCCTCAATCTTTGACGCCTTTGGTTACATTTATTAAACCGTTTACAAGACTGAAAACTTCCCAATCAACTGTTGTTATTGTTATAAACAGCCTCCTGGTGCTTCGGAGCTCATTAACTGTTTAATAATTGTAAACAAAGCCGCCAAAAACTGAGAAAAGATGTAAAGTTCGTAAGTGGTTGCGTAACTGCTTCGTGAATCTGGCCCCTGGTGTCTGATCGCGCCAGCAAAGAAACAAGAAATGTAAGAAAATGCCCGTGGCAGGAGGTGCATCTTGAAGACCACAGGACATGACACGAATGCTCAGACCAGAGTAAGAGAGATGAGAGTAATGACGAGGAACAAAAATAATAGAAAAGGTGCTAAAAGTCTTCATTTTCAGATTATACAACAGAAGATGGTGATCATGTTATGGATGACTGGAATAAAAGTTAATGGTCGAGGTAAAGCACAACCTGGAGCCCAATATAACATATAGAACTGATACCCGGCGATGCCCAGGACTGTGCTTACTTCCCCTCTCCTATTCCTCCATCCCATGTCCCCCCTACCTCCGTCCCCCATATTCATACCCCATGTCCCCCCTACTTCCGTCCCCCATATTCATACCCCATGTCCCCCCTACCTCCGTCCCCCATATTCATACCCCATGTCCCCCCTACTTCCGTCCCCCATATTCATACCCCATGTCCCCCCTACCTCCGTCCCCATATTCATACCCCATGTCCCCCCTACCTCCGTCCCTCATATTCATACCCCATCCCCCCCCCCTCCTGTCACTGCTCCCACTCCTCCTCTTCCCTCTCTCCTACAATATCACTAATCTACAACACTAAGAACAAAATCGTGTCATCAATACATTATTCACAGAGTCTAAGGAAAAAAGAAATTATAAGCCTGTGTGTGTTTAAAGAGTAAGTATTATAATTACTCACTTAACAATGCTTTCTCTCAAACCAACCCATGTTGTGCACGTTCCCAACAGCCATTACTGGGAAAAAATTGAGTGAAGCTGTTCCCAAGCATGTGGCCTATAACCTCGTACTGTCACACACACTTATATTAGTTTACATGGAATTTCTCCTATCAAATGTAGAAGCCACAGACAATTTTGTTGAATTTCGTTCAAAGTTACACACAGAAATCACAATAGCGTGATGTATCAAATGAACAAATCCACAAGGGCCGTGACGAGGATTCGAATCTGCGTCCGCGGGCATCCCAGACGCTGCCTTAATCGATTGAGCTACGACATGGTAGATACCCTGTCGTAGCTCAGTCGATTAAGGCAGCGTCTAGAATGCTCTCGGACGCTGGTTCGAATATTCGTCACGGCCCTTGTGGATTCGTTCAAAGTTCTTCGAATGCAGGGCAGGAGAATTTTTTTTTTTCTTTTGATATGATGCTTTAGATATGACAAAGATAGACAGAGTTCCAATACATCAATTACCACAATGCAGGTTGCATCCGCGTCCTCGCCTACCTGGAGAGTCGGCTGCCCAACACCAACCTGGAGAAGAAAACACACATTAGAACCAATATTATTCATCGACATGCAAAGAAGTCAGCGACATCATTATTCAGCTTGGGATTAATTACAAGAGTCGTCATTCATACCTGTATTACATTCACTGTGCATTGTACTCCATGACACGCCCCACTCTCCCACCACCCGCCCGCCCACGCCCCCGTCACATTCACAACCCCGGCCGCCCAAGCCACCTTCACAACCTCTGGCCGCCCAAGCCACCTTCACAACCCAGGCCGCCCAAGCCACCTTCACAACCCAGGCCGCCCAAGCCACCTTCACAACCCCTGGCCGCCCAAGCCACCTTCACAACCCCTGGCCGCCCAAGCCACCTTCACAACCCCTGGCCGCCCAAGCCACCTTCACCACCCCGGCCGCCCAAGCCACCTTCACAACCCCGGCCGCCCAAGCCACCTTTACAACCCCGGCCGCCCAAGCCACCTTTACAACCCCGGCCGCCCAAGCCACCTTCACAACCCAGGCCGCCCAAGCCACCTTCACAACCTCTGGCCGCCCAAGCCACCTTCACAACCCCTGGCCGCCCAAGCCACTTTCACAACCCCTGGCCGCCCAAGCCACCTTCACAACCCCCAGACCGCCCAAGCCACCTTCACCACCCCGGCCGCCCAAGCCACCTTCACAACCCCGGCCGCCCAAGCCACCTTCACAACCCCGGCCGCCCAAGCCACCTTCACAACCCCGGCCGCTCAAGCCACCTTCACCACCCCGGCCGCCCAAGCCACCTTCACCACCCCGGCCGCCCAAGCCACCTTCACCACCCCGGCCGCCCAAGCCACCTTCACCACCCCGGCCGCCCAAGCCACCTTCACCACCCCGGCCGCCCAAGCCACCTTCACCACCCCGGCCGCCCAAGCCACCTTCACCACCCCGACCGCCCAAGCCACCTTCACAACCCTGGCCGCCCAAGCCGCCTTCACCACCCCGACCGCCCAAGCCACCTTCACCACCCCGGCCGCCCAAGCCATCTTCACAAGTCCCCTGCTGGCAGCTCTCAAAGTACCTTGCTACTCTCGAATGACAGAACTTGATTAATTCCTCAACATTAATAGGACTCCACGCTACGCTTGTGTCGTGTATAAAATTAGACAAAGGCTTCTCTGGGAAAGGTTGCCTGAAGCTTCTCGCCCTAAGCCAGGTCTGTGGCCAGGTTTGTCGCGTGAGACCTTGATCTGCAAGACTGTTGTTAGCAGCAACCTTACAGGCCGCATATACATTACAACTCGGATGGTCGTGGGGGCTTCTTGTAGGAACTTCTCCAACTGCCTCTCGTAAACAACTTTCATACAGGAAGGAAATGACGCAAGCGGGAATAGTGTGGTAAAGCCGTCTTTCTCCAGCTCCGCATCTGTCCCAAGATAATACCATGAAATGGATTTACAAACATTCCGGATTAAGTAATAGGCTGGGGGCCAATATCAGTGAAAACATTTCCTCAATTATTACCTTCATTATCATTCCTTCATCCCCATTACTATAGTGTGTCTAACTTTGGCTGGCACGTCGCAGGAACACTCAGTTCCTTCGAAGGCGCTAGAACCAATCGTATTGGCGTTTGCCTTTCCATTGGAGACCTTCGGCGCCGTGGAGAGGGGGGAACCTGCTGCCTGGGTAACAGCTTCTCCTCCGTATCAACCTACCCTGGCTTTGCGCCCTGGTGAGGCCACTCCAGACCGACAACCAGAACGCAACACAATAGTCTCCTGAGACTGAAGGATGTCTACTATTATTTTATGTATACAGGTACATCTGGTCGTGAAGGGACATACATGGGTGATTGTCTTATATTCTTGCAAAGTCGCTAACACTCGTAGCGTTTCCGGCAGACCCGTAAGCTAATCAATAAAGGTCATGGGTATTTTGTATCAAAATTTGAATGCCTGGCTACATTATATAATGCCAGAATACATTATACTTATGAAGTTGTATGTCTTAAGTACTAAATTAGGTGAGTGGGAAGCACAAGATACAGTGACAGCAGCACAAGGTGGGAAAATATTAGAAGAAAATTTGACAGTTTTTGGTTTTATTTTTTAATAAAGTACAGGTTGGGATTTTTTTTTATTCATTAGGGAGCGAGTTATAATGGGCCCGTTTATTAATAAGGAATGTTTGCACAGATTTAGCCTGACTCAAGAAATATCAGATATATTTATTTCTGGTCTGGTGCCCTCGAGTTCTACATAAATTAAGAGTTTCAAAACAGGATTAGAATCTAAGAATAAGGTTTTTATAAGTGTAAATAGCATTAGAGAATGCGTGGAGTGAGTGTATATTTAGCATGTTTACGGAGTTAAACATTAAACAGTTCGTTATAGTTCTGATTGCAGATTTTTCCTGGGTGATGATGGACTTCAGGTAGTTTGCAGTAGTTGAACCCCAAGCACAGATACCGTATGAAAGATAGGGACAGATTAACGATGTGTATCGTGTATACAGAGCAGAGTGCGGAACATAATATCTGATTTTTGAGAGTATACCGTCAATATTACAGACTTTTCTGGCTGTGTTGTATGTGGGTACTGAAGTCTCTGGTCTATATATAGGCCAAGAGACTTTCCCTCATTTTTACTATTTATGTTGACATTGTCCATATCAAAGTGAATTTGCTTTGATGATTTGTTTCAAAATAAAATGTAGTAGGCCTTTTATGAGTTTAGTGTGTTTGGCTGACCTCCATGAGGGGACTTTTTTTAACTCGTTATTTACAATATTATTTAGTGTGTGTGGGGGTTGTGGTTGAAGGAGATTAAGACAGTATCGTCAGGAAATAGTATTGTTTAAGAATGTTTGAACAAATATATATGTTTATCACTCAGAATGTTTGGTAATATGCTTATTGTTTGTGAGTGTGTGTGATTATATACACATATATATGACAGTGTCAGACCACGGAGGAAAATTGAAACGGGAATTTCCTTAAGTACTTTCGTATATTAATACATCTTCAGAAGGAGTGAGTGACTCCTTCTGAAGATGTATTAATATATGAAAGTACTTAAGGAAATTCCTGTTTCAATTTTCCTCCGTGGTCTGACACTGTCACATTTTTAATCATGTGTTTATTTTCGTGATATATACACACACACACACACTATATTATTTATATATATATATATATATGAACACGTTGTACTGAACGGGGTTAGAATAGATTGAGCTACTTCATTCCTTTGTGTGTATTTATACCTGAGTAAACTTATTTAAATTTCAAGAATATTAGAGACAGTTGGTAAGTCATTGATGAATATATGAAATGGGAGACGTTCTAAGATGCTGTCCTGTGACTCTATGGTTAATTATAAAGAAAGGTTATGTCACTGATGACCACATATTGGTGTGTGATGTTATATAGTTCAGAGCAAGGCCTCGGATTCCACAGTGATGCCATTCAAGAGGTGGGTATGTAGTTATTGTTTACATTATCAAAAGCCTTTTTTTTTTAGGCCAATGAAGAGACCATTTGTGAATTTATTTTTGGTCAAGGTCTGCGTAGATTATATTAAGCAAACTAAAAATGGCATCATTGTTACTCTTTAGGGATCGGAAGCCAAACTGGCTAAAACTACTAATTTTGAATTTGACAAGGTAGAAGACAAGCTGTGGGTATATTAATTGTCAAATAACTTTGATAATATCGCCTAGCTTGTTATTGGTCTGTAATTGTTTGTGCCAGCTGTATTACCTCCTTTGTGAAGTGCAGCAACTCTTGCATTGTTAAGAGTATCAGCAAAAGTATGACACTTAAATGATTTGTTGAGAAATAGAACTATGGCTGGTGCAAGGGCATGAGCAGCACTCTTATACAGCACAGTTGGCATCTCAATAATGTTCCCAGCTATGGTTTTACGTTAATGAATTGTGGATATAATGTGTGCCGGGCTGACTGGTAGGAGGAGTAGAGAGTTAGGACAGCTGCCGGGGAGTTATGTAGTAACATGTGTCTGGGTCTCCGGGGTTTTTCTAGCAAGAGAAACACCTATTGATGGAAAACTATTAAATTCAGTTGTAGTTTCCAAGTCTGTGGCAAGTGTGTAACCATGTTCAGCAAGTTTAATCTGTTTGGTATGTGATTGGTATTTAGATCTGCTTTAGTACCTGGGTCCTGGCCGGGGGAAGGGAGATTGACAGGGCGCCAAACCTTAACTGTAGGCTCTGTTCACTCAGCAGTGAATGGGTACCTGGTTGTTAAAACTATTTGTCGGGTCGTATTCTGGGGAAAATAAGGATTAAGGACCTGCCCGAAACGCTATGCGTGCTTGTGACTGTACAAGAATGTAATAACTCTTGTACATATAAATAAAATAAAAAAATAAAATAAAATAAAATAAAATAATATAAAATAATAAAAATCCTAGGATGTTAGAGATGGTTTTCCATATGCTTTTCCGTTTTTCCCTTTTCTTCTTTGAATCTAATCTCAAAACAGGATAGTTTAGATCTTCTAAACTGGTAAGCATTGATGAGTATATCTCTACTACGTCTTTTGTAACTAGGCAAAACCTAGGTTTTTTTTCATATTCGTGTTTCTTGTCAATTGCTTTATCTAGCCACTTGTGAATAAGTTGTCTAATGTCTGGGCCGGTAGTGTCGTTGGTGAGGAGAGGACAGTGAGTGGTGTAGAGGCTCAAGGTGTTCCTCAGGAAGACGTCAGTTAAGGAATATATTGTGTCTTATTGAACTCAGATTCCCAGTGTATATTGTCAAGAGCATTTATGAGGTTGCCTCTGTTACTTTGTGGTGTTGTCTCAAGATTATTTCTTGGTATCCGATGATGTTATATGATACAATCCCTACACACAGCGCTGCACACACACTATTAAGCGTCTAACGTCCGTGCTCTCAAAATCATTGCATCACATGGGGAGGGGGGCTTGGTACCATGAGGTCCGCGATCTCTTAAATAATCACGACCAGGAATCGTCAAGTATTTACTCAGCCTCTTACGAAACCTGTGCATCTTCCCTCAATCATGGCGGTGTTGTTTAGACTTATTAAACCACGTATGAGCGCCGAAATGCTGCGAGGTTGTTTATAACAATAATAACCTAGCGTTGTGAATTTTCCACGCTCGGAAACTGCTAAAATATTATAAACACAGGTGCTGTGATTGTGGAAAGATGCATTGGTTTCGTAAGGGGCAGAGTAAAAGCTTGGTGAAGCCAGTGTGTTAAGCCACAGCCCCAAGCCATAAGCTCCTGGCGCCTGAAATGAAATGAAATCGGCCGCCGTCACGTCACCGAGCCGTCAGCACGACACACGTCACCACCGAGCCGTCAGCACGACACACGTCACCACCACCAGCACGACACACCGCACGACACACGTCACCACCGGGCCGCACGACACACGTCACCACCGGGCCGTCACCACGACACACGTCACCACCGGGCCGTCACCACGACACACGTCACCACCGGGCCGTCAGCACGACACACGTCACCACCGGGCCGTCAGCACGACACACGTCACCACCGGGCCGTCAGCACGACACACGTCACCACCGGGCCGTCACCACGACACACGTCACCACCGGGCCGTCAGCACGACACACGTCACCACCGGGCCGTCAGCACGACACACGTCACCACCGGGCCGTCACCACGACACACGTCACCACCGGGCCGTCAGCACGACACACGTCACCACCGGGCCGTCACCACGACACACGTCACCACCGGGCCGTCAGCACGACACGTCACCGGGCCGTCACCACGACACACGTCACCACCGGGCCGTCACCACGACACGTCACCGGGCCGTCAGCACGACACGTCACCGGGCCGTCAGCACGACACGTCCCCGGACACCACCACAAAATTTAATGTGATTTTCCTCTAATGAGAGAAAAAATGGTGAGCCACTTAAAGGTGATTCGTTAATTCAATTGCTTTAATGTTGCAGACTGGTTGACTGGCCAAGTGGAAACTCAATTACGATTGGATGATATTAATGCTTTCTGCTGGGAGAGTGGAGATGGGGAGAGGGGGAGGAGGGGGAGGAGGGAGAGGGGGGAGAGGG